CCACATACAGCAACTGGAAGGATGTGCACCTATGATTTACAACTATCTACTGGGGCTTTGGGGGAAAAAAAATAAAAAAAACTTTTCGCTTGGAAATAATTTCAAATTCACGGAAGTTTAAATATAAGATAAAAATTATACAAGGAATACTTGTATTCCCTTTATCCAGATTCTCCTCTTGTTGACCTTTACCTCATTTACTTTATCATTTGCACATTCTCTCTCTACTTATATCTCTCTATATAATTTCTTTCTGAACCATTAAGAATAGAGATGTTCTTACATACATTCATACATAACAAAACAGTTAATCAATTTCAGTCAATTTAAAATTGATATGATACACTCATTAAACTATTGTTTGTATTCCAGTTTTGTCAGGTGATGCAGTAGTGTCCTTCATAGTGTTTTTTTCTCTTCCTTTTCTCTTAACAGGTGTCTCCCCCAAGCAGTAGGCCCTAGCTCCCTTTGTTTTTGCTCGGTATGAGCTTAACAAAGTTTTTTGGTTGTCTTGAGTACATTTCACAATGTTCAGCTTGTTATGGCCATCACGTTTCCCGAAACTGTTAACACAATCCATGCCAGTCCTTTTTATATTCTTTGTTGCTGGTTACTGTGTGTGTGTGTGTGTGTGTATATGTGTGTTTCCCTGCCCCCAGTGTTTTCAGAGATCAAACTCTTTGGGAAATGTCATATATAGCCACCTTGGTTTCTTTTTTTCTCTTGGGTATTAGTTGCCATTGTGCCATAAGAGCTGTATTTAAATAACCTAGAGTTTTTAGGTCAAGGGAGATTGCTGTGAAAGGTTTTTGGGGTGTGGTAAGGGAAACTGATTAGAAGCTTGAAGTAGCAAGCCTCAGGTTTTTCTAGATTAGTGCTTCTCAGACTTGAATGTGCATACAGATTTCCTGGGGATCTTGTTAAAATGCAGGTTCTGATTCAGAAGTCTGGAGTGGGGCCCAAGATGCATTTTTAATGAGTTCTTACCTGGGCAAGCCCCTAGAGATGTTTTAAGACCTGGATGATTTAGATCCCAAGACACTGACCTCTAGTAGGTAGGATAGCTTGTCTGTAGTTGATGATCTTAAAGGAATTGGAACAAAAGGTGTGTCAAGAACATGAAGACAAGAAGATGTAAAGTCTTGAGTATTAAAAAAAAAAAAAAGAAAGAAAAAGCTAGTGAATGGTGCATTACAGAAGATAAAACTTGGAATCAGAAAGCACTGGGGGGTTGTAATTAGTATTTTGGTGGTGAACATGATGTAATCTATGCAGAAATAGAAGTACAATGATGTACACCTGAAATTTTTACAATGTTATAAACCAATGTTACTGCAATAAACAAAAAATTAAAAAAAAAATAAAATAAATGAAAGCACTGGGTCCCACTCTGTCACTCACTAGCTGTTACTTATACAAACGTCTTTGAGCCTTGGTTTCCTTTTGTTAAGATGGGGTAGTAATATCCACTTGTTAGGATTCAGTGAAGATTATCTACCTAAGTGCTTCTAACACAGTGTCTGGCGTGTGCTGGATGTGCAGTAAGTGGAAGTTGCTAGTAGTGAATGGTAGGAGCTTGATTGAACCTGGTCCAGATTGTAGAATAGATGATTGACCATGAACTATGAGCACTTAAGGAAGTGGAGTTCATTACTGGCCAACATGGGTTGTCATGCCATTTTCTTTTTACACAGGCTTATTATCAGACTAGAGGAGTGCTATAGACATAGACATAGTTCCTAGCTTTGACATAGGAATTTGACAAAGCCTCGAGGTATCTTTGTGGGCATGGTAAAAAAAAAAAAAAAAAAATTGTAGGTTAGTTGAGGTAGATGGATTTGTGGGTGGTATAACAGATGTACCAACACAGTAGTGAACACAAATTGATGTGAATAAGAAAGTAGTCTACAGTGGAACCCATATTGCTTTTTGACTCTTTCAGATATACTTTTTTGTAAACCTTGGGTGAAGACAGTTACTACAGCCCATAATCATCATATTTGATGCCCCCAGACACAAGCCCTTTGCACCAGCCATCTCTTTGTGAGCATTTTCTTCATACCCCTTTATGCTGTGTTTCCCTTGACAACTCTTGGAGCTCTCTACTGTGCTACCCTTTTCTAGGATCAACAAACTGCCCTTTATCTTATTTGTCACTGGTGCATGCTCCCTCAGGCTTTTCCTTTAGGATGCTGCTTTGTCAAGTGGAGGCTACACATTCTCCCAAGTCTTATCTACCATTTACCTCAGAGTCATTCTTTTTGTTGTTCTTTACTGATTTCCCAGTCCTTCCCTTTCTCTCAAGATCTCAATATCTGTTTTTTGTTTGTTTTAACCCCAGGCCCAGTTATCACCATAGGTTCCTTTAGTGTCCTTGTGGATGACCAATCCAATATTTTAGACTCCACACATTCCACTTCAGCCTCATATGGTCACACACCTTGGATCTTGCCATCCTCATAATTCAGTCTTCACTGTCCCACCTTCTCCTTTTTATCCTGTCTGCTCCCTTCATTCCTCTTGTAGCTGACAGCCTGTTGAAGTTGCTGGTTCTCCATTTGCTTCTGATCTTTTGACTCTTCTGTCTTTCACCTATAATACATGAACTGTTCTTCATCTCCTCTGTTGCTGTTATCATCAACTTGTTGTCCCATTTCCTCCTTCACACCCTCTTTGGAAAAAAAATCACAGCCCTATATGGGTCCAGTGTCTGTCCAGGTTCCTGACACTGCTGGAGAGAATCACCCAAGTCTAATTTTAAATACTCAGTCTCTCTCTCTGCTGGGCACTGGGTACCAATGGCGGTCTTCCTTAGTTTCCCTGCTCAGCCTCCTGTGCCATCCCCACAACAGCTCTTCGGTGTCTTCTAGTTACCTTTAGGATAAAATCTAAACACCTTAACTTGGTTTTCAAAGCTCTTTGTGATTTGATTGTTACCTCATTATTCACCACCTTAAACTCGTTTTTGTAAAATGTGAAGATGATGCCCTCTAGGGCATTGGTACCGCTTTTAAGACGGCTTTGTATGATCTGTTGGTTTTCACATGTGCTTTTATGCCAGGTTTTGCAGCACCAGGGAGGAGCCTCAAATAAATCTCCACACCTCCTGCCTTCTCAGGGTGTGAGTTATTTGTGTTTCATTGAGGCAGAAGTTTGTCAAGAGTATTTGAGAAGTTTGGCAAAGATTATTTCTGATGGGTGTCAGAATCCAAGCATTGAGAGACACTTAGTTTCAGCAACAAGTTACAGTACTTGCGCTTGAGAATCTGCTTTGAAAGCCCTGGTTAAGAGAATGTTTCCTTAAAAAACAAAGCAATAAACCAAGTAATAAACTATTAGCTGGATATGGTGCAGCACCCCCCTCCTCAACACATGCACACATATTAGACTGGCTAGAATTAAAAAGACTGACCATACCAAGTGTTGGCCAGGATGTGGAGGGACTGAAACTCGCATCAGTGCTGATGGGAATGTAAAATGGTCCATTTACTTTGGAAGACAATATGACAGTTTCTTTAAAAATTAAGGATATTTTTCCACAATAAAATAAAGACATCCACAATATCCTTTGTATTAAAAAGAGAGTTAAAGATACACCTACCTTATCCTTATCTGAAAAGGAGGTCATTTGGCTAAAGGAGAGTGGGCTAGTCTGATCTTGTACATATGCTATGGCATATGTGTCTGGTACCCTGAAAGCATGCTTTCACATTGATTTCATGCTCGGAGAGGTTTATTCCTCCTTCTTGGGACTCAACCACAGCCCCAGCCAGGCATTCAGACTGACTTGGAGCCTGAAAGGAAACCAGCTCTGGTGATCTGTGTTTCACTCAATTACTAGTGAGGTAGAGCCAATCACAGCCACCATTTATTGAGCACTTAAACACACTTAAACGCATTATTTTGGTTTCACCTCAACAGTCATTTTGAGGTGGATGTTTTCTCCTTTCTTCAGATAGGCTTCTTCCCTAGCCTTAGTGACACCATAGCTCCATGGCAAAGCCCTCTTATTCTTCATCTTCATGGATAAAGGATGTGCTTTGCTTTGGATTCCTTATTTCCCCAAGGCCAAGTGTGGAAAAACGTTGCTCTCTTCTGCTGTCCACTTGACCCCCCTAATCTTTTCTGTTGTCTGCTTCACTCTTTTCTGGTTTTGATATTTAAATATTTATTGTGTGCTGGGCACTGCTCTGCTGAGTACTTTTCATCTGCTGTGTCAATTATTCAACCCTCCTGACAATAATATAAAATAGCTGGTATTCCACCCAAGATGCCATGTGAAAATGGAGACTCAGAGAGCTTCTCAGAGCATGTAGCTGACTGAGGAGGTGTCAAACCTAGGGTTTTATCCCAGATTTGTCTTAAGCTACAGCAGGCTTAACCACACCGCCATTCTGCTTCCATCCTAAAGTTCAGGGGTGTATAAAAGAGAATCTGCATATGCTAAAACTGTGCATAAGGGAACTTCTCAGATGAGATGGCATGCTCATGCTATACCAGACGTCTGGGGTGTGGCATGAAATTCTGTATTTTAGCTATATAGTGTTAGAAAGGTGGGAATTCAAATTAACACACTGGCAGGTAGTAAGGAAGGAGTATGGTTTGGGCTTCCTAATTGTGCTGAATGTATCTCCTATGGCAACATGGGCATGTGTATTCAGACATTAATAGCAGCTGTGACTGGGGTCCCCAGTGGCAGTTTCCCAAATGCTGGCACTGACCCTTGAGCCTGGGTGGCAGAGAGTAGGATTTTGCTACTACTGTTACAGCAGGAACTCCAGTCTTCAGAAAGCCATCCTGTAATTGCCTCTAATGGGCCCTGCGTGGCCAGCATCAGTACTGAATGTACATCTCCTCATCATACTCTAACTGTAGTTCTCTCATGCTTTCAGTGGTCCTACCTTTGTGTATCTTGTTGGGTGGCAGTGGGAGAAAGGGGAAGGACTGATGGCTGGGAAGAAAACTAAGAGGTCGTGAGACTTTTTTTGTTTTCCTCCTAGTACTGAGCATGCTCCACAACCCTCTGGGCAATGTCTTGGGGAAACCGCCCTTGAGCTTCCTGCCTCTGGACCCCCTTGGATCTGACTTGGTGGACAAGTTTCCAGGACCCTCAGTTAGAGGATCCCGCCTGGACACCCGACCCATCCTGGACTCCCGTTCTAGCAGTCCCTCTGACTCAGACACCAGTGGCTTCAGCTCTGGATCAGATCATCTCTCAGATTTGATTGTATGTAACCTGTTGGGGAGTGGGTTTGGGAGGAAGAGTGAGCTTGAAGTGGGATGCATGTCCACTAGAATGCAGGCTGAGAGGTGGAATGGTGGGAGGAGTGGAGGCCATTGTGGACTCAACAGAATACAGGATGCCTTTATACCCATTGAGCAATACATTTCAGGACCTGAGCTGAGGACTTTCTTTTTTTTTTTTTTTTTTTTTAAATTATGCTTAACTTTTTTTTTTTTTTTTTTTAGATTTTTTTTTTTTTTTTCCCCAAAAGCCCCAAGCGATAGTTGTAAGTCATAGTTGCACATTCTTCTAGTTGCTGTATGTGGGACGCGGCCTCAG